CTTGTGCTTCATTAAGCAGCATGGTAGAGTTCTGGCTCTGCCCTACAAATCATAACACGTGATCCTTCCAGAGTAACTGGTTCACCACAGCTCAGCAATCTAATCCACCATGAGTGGAGATGCTGCAACAACTACAACATAACAAAAGAAACCTAAATTTGTAGATCTTGGCATGAAACGACTTGAATGACTGCTGGGAGAATGGAGTCCCCCCGATGCAAATAGAAACAGTTTGTGTGTTGATTTCCACATGTGCAGACATGTACTATTGTGTAGTGGGTTGACCGCGTGGCTAGGCCCACTCAGCTCCCATAACATGGTGCACGCTTGACTCTTACACAACTAAGACAAAGACAAACGGCCAGGAGGCCAACTATATACATATCCAGGGGACACCCCTGGATCCCATTGGGGGGGTTTGCATTTCCCTCCCTGTTCCTATTGGCTCCTTGTTGGAGAGACCCGGAGCCCAGTCCCATTGTTCACCCAGGGTCAAGCCCTGGGTAGTCGCTGGCCCCTGGTGGCGGCCAGTGGACACAACATGTACCGATTTCTCTCTTTTGATATGCAAAACTGTGTCCTTGTGCCACATACTAGTGTGGTACTGTGGTGTTAGAACATCGGTTTAATGCTGGGATGACTTGGGTTCAAAGCCCTGTTCAGCCATGAGCATGCAATTCCTCTGATGGAACAGCATTTCCGTTTGTGGAAGAGGGATGTGGCGACTTGATGTCCCCTTCCCACTGCAGACCCCATCATTGATGTTCTCAAGGGTACACTAACCCCTCAGAACAAAGATTTCAGGCTCAGTGGGCTGCAGCAGGAGAAGGAAGTGGGAAGCTCTGGTTCTGGGATGTCCACACACGGTTGAATACAGACCACGGAGTGACCTTTGGGCCAGTTCCTCTCTGTCTCTCTCTCTCTCAGTCTAACCTACCATTAGGGTTGCCAGGTCCCTCCAGGCCATGTGGGAGGGGGGCAGGGTTGCCAGGTTCAGCTTGCCAACCTCCAGGTGGTGACTGGAGATTTCCTGGGATTACAACTGATCTCCAGGTGACAGGGATAAGTTCATCTGGAGAAAATATCCTCTGGAAGGTGGACTCAGTGGCATTATACCACATTAAGGTTCCCTCCCCTCCCCAAACCCCACCTTCCTCAGGCTCCATCCACAAAGTCTCCAGGTATTTCCCAATCTGGAGCTGGCAATCCTATGCCAGATCCAGGTTGGCAAACTCCTGGAGATTTGGAGATGGAGCCTGGGTAAGACAGGGACATCAGTAGGGTACAATGCCATAGAGTCCACCCTCCAAAGCATCAATTTTCTATAGGGGAACCGATCTCCGTAGTCTGGAGATGAGTTGTAATTCTAGGGACCCACCTGGGGGCTGTCATCCCTACTTTATCATAAAGGGTTGATATGAAGATAAAATGGAGACCAGGAGAACCATGCAGGCCACTCTAACCTCTTTGGAGGAAGGGTGGGATTAGAGTGTGACAGGTGAACAGGCATTAACTGGGAGATGCGTCTAGCGATTATTTCGAGATAATCCTCTGTAGAGCTGTGTTTGATCTCAATGAATGATGTGCTAATTCTTTGAACATGATATTGTTTGCAGCTCTTTCCCACTGGATCCCCAGCTGCATGTCAGTAGGTGTAACCAGGTGTTGCTCTTTCAGGTGTGCTCGCGTGCACACGCTCATATACAAATGATGGCAACAGTAAAATACAAATGTAATTTTATGAGCATCAGGTATAGAATCATCAGAGGCTAGCCAGTTTCTCACACTGCTGAGTACAAATGCTTAATTATAGCGAATGCAACAGGTTTTTAGAGACATGCAACACCTGCTACATGAGCCAACATGATCTATGCACAGAGTTTGTATTTAAGCATTTCTCCAAATGTACAATTAAGAAGGAAGCTCTGAGTTCACAGTGCCATTCTAAGCAGTGTTACTCCTTTCAAAGTCAATTGGAATCAATGGGCTTAGAAGGTTGTAACTACATAGGAGGGCACTATTAATTCCCTCCTCCTTTGGAAAACCTATCCGATCCTATGAAGCTATTTTTTATGTGCAATTACTTACATTATTTATAGTCCATCTTTCTCATTGAGACTCAAAGCACATTACTAGTAGTTACTAGCCAATCTAGCAGTTTGAAAGCAAGAAATGGCAAGTCGATAAATAGGTAGTGCTTCAGTGGGAAGGTAACAGCGTTCTGTGCGCCTTGGCATCTAGTCATGCCGGCCCACATGACCACGGAAATTTCTTCGGACAACGCTGGCTCTTTGGCTTGGAAACGGAGATGAGCACTGCCCCCTAGAGTCGGATTCGACTAGCTTTCGAGCAAGAGAAACCTTTACCTTTAAGCTAGCATCTTCCGGAAGGTTCCTGAGAAAAAGATCTTTGGTTAGATGAGAGAGACCACATAGGGCAAAGAGCTATAATTAGGGCTATAGGTTAGTAAGAGCTATGCCTATGCTAGGCATATGCTATGCTACATTACGATTGGCTGTAATGGATATAACGCTTTCATGCTGTAAGAGACCTGGCATTCTGTAACCCAAGTATGAACTGTATTAGATAGAAAAGATAGCTTTCTTGTTATTGGCCTGATGAGACTGTACTGGATAGCTGATATATTTTCAGTAACTTAATAAACCTGTAACTCATTTTACAAGGTTTGGTTTACTGTGTGCAAAACCCACCCCAAGAATGCACAGGTAAACTTGGCGGGGAAGTTATTCAAGGGTTCCAGGAGTGGGAGCCAGGAACGACAACTCGGTGGGATTGGAGAGTATCCCTGGCATATCTATTCTATTTAAAACACAAGCAGATGAGTTCTATGAAAAATAACCAGAAGAGTCACTCTGCCCTTATAACTATTTTATTGCATTTCATATTGCAGTTTAGAGAAGTCAATTAGGCACATCATTGTCATATATACACATACGTCTTTTACCAGAGTTGTCTGTATATGTTGTATCTATATATGTTCAGCATCATCTCTCTCTCTCTCTCTCTCAGCCCAACCCACCTCACATGGTTCTTGTGAGGATAAAATGGAGGAGAATGACGTAAGCTACTTTGGGTTTCCACTGAAGAGAAAGGCAGGATACAGATGATGTGCACGCACTTCACCTATGCCCTACCTTTCTCCCCAGTGGAGACCCCAAGTGGCTCGCCTCATTCTCCCCTCCATTCATCAACAGAGATTCTTTGACTGTTAATAGCCTTAATAGTTATGACTGCAAGAATTCCAGTGCAATTGTACCTTTTCTTATGGGCATTTTTGAAAGGCAGGACTAACATTTTATCTTTTCTTCCCCCAGTAATCAACCATGCTTCATACATAAACTGTGCAGATAGTAGCTGACTTGAGTTTATTTACTCCCCCCTGAGCATTCAGTTCTTTTGGAAGGGGAGAAATTGTACAAACCAGGACTCCATAGGATAGGGGGCTCACACTGAAGCATCCTGTGAAAACTGGTACCCTGTGCAAGGCAGAGGGGAGGTGTTTAAATCGTGCCTCCATCCCCCTACCACCTCCTGTGAAAACTGGTACCCTGTGCAAGGCGGAGGGGATTGTGCCTCCATCCCCCTACCACTGCGCCATCATGGACTGACTGTTTGAACTGGGACTAGACTTCTATGTAAGTAATCTTCTAAAAAATATTGATTGTGGTTTTGTAGTTTGGTATGAATCTAAGCATTGCTTATTGGCTACCATGTTGGGTTAGATTACATAGGTATGTTGTCATTTTTAGATCCTATATGAGGCCAAGACAACCTTTAACATAGTAGACCTGCATCTAAGGCAGATGCTGAAGATGGAAATCAACTGCCCAGCATTGGTGCTAGTCGATAACTTACGAATCTGAAATTAGCTGCTTCAATGTCTCGTTGAGGAAGGCTTCTGGCCTTAAAGGAACATTCTGGAGATCCAACTGAACAGGCATCAGCTGATCTCAAAAGTGTCTTGCCCTAGCAGAGAAGCTGCGGCACAATTCCTACTCAACGTTTCTTTAAAAAATTATACCTAGTAAAGTGGTAGAGTTCTGAATTGTTAGTGCTCAGATCTATCAGTGGAGATGGGAGACCAACATGATATAGGGCCTTTCTGTTCCAAGACGCTTAAGGCGAAGAATGCAATGCAACCTACTTCAGCCCCCTTCACAGAATACGAGAATGCCCTGTCTCAAAGTTTGGTAACTGCTGCGTTAAGGAATGGAGCAGCTCAAGGAAAATAGTTATTTTTGATGACAGACACTTTGGCATTAGAATTCAAACGATTTTTATTTTGAATTACATGAACACAGAAAAGAATCCGTATCAGTTAAGAGGAAAATATTGCTGACCGACTCCACTAAAAAACCAAATTGGTTCTGCACCTTTTGAGGCAGACGGTGGGCTCAGACTTTGAGATAGTCTATTCACCAAACTACAGGTATGTTTCAATTTAATTTTTGCCATGAGCCATTAACCTGCTGATTGAGATGTCGCATGCAAATATGCATTCTGTAGCCATTTCAATTAAAGAGCAGCTAGATTGATAAATATGTCATACCATGTAGTTAAGTTAGAGACTGCCATGCTCATGGCACTATGAGACAAGGAATGATTTTGTTAATGCACTGCATCTGGAATAACTTAATAAACCATTCTTGATGCATTCTCCCTCAATCAGTGGCAAGTGATATAAAGTACTAATATGCATTTCAAAGAACTACTTCAAACTAACAAACACGGAAAGTTATCCATCCAAGAACTTCAAAAAGGCTCAGATTTTTTTTCAGCCTAGAAATGACCTTCAAAGAAAGAAAGAAAGAAAGAAAGAAAGAAAGAAAGAAAGAAAGAAAGAAAGAAAGAAAGAAAGAAAGAAAGAAAGAAAATTTACGATTTCTTCTCATGAGTTGTACAAAATTGTTTCGAAAATGAGCATTATGTGCAAATGTCCTAAAAACAAAGAACTTTATAAAAACATTCCTAGAAATATATCACGCTTAAAAGAAAAGATGATTTACAGATATTTTTAATTATTATGTCATCTAATCCTCATCAGAGTCTGAATCGTATGCCTTTCCTCTGATCATTTTCTTATCCAGCTTTGTGAAACTGGTTCCAAACTTCTTTTGGCTCTGGAAAGGGGGGTCCATCAAGTTGCCACTGGAAAGGAAAAAGAAATATACATGCATTTTAAAAAAATCCTTGAAGCTGCAGCAGCAGCTTGTCTTCAGAAACTGCTTATAGGGCAAGTCTGGCAAAACTACTTTCTCTTGAAGTGTGGCTGCTTGAAGCTGAGAGGCAGCCCTGTCATCAACACAACAGAAGGGGCACACCTGACTCCTCCATCAGTGCGTCTCTACCAAGAGAAGCCCTGGAGGAGCACAGTCTTTATGAGTTACAGGTTTGGCCTGCCAAGAGAACATTACCTACCCAGGAATGTCCCTCCCCAACTCATTACATTTCTATGAAGAAGAAAGGCAGGAACAGCCTTTTTCTCCAAAGGGGATTTATTTCAACAACACGGTGCGGAGTTCAGAGTAAGAAATGTTTTCCAGCAAAATAACAGAGGTAACCAAAGGAACCCATGCGGTGTTTCATTACCTCCCCCTCCCAAAAAGAGAGAGAGAAACTAAAAAAAGAGGCAACTAAAAAATGTAAAAGTATTTTGTTTACCTGTAGTTGATTATTTTTGTACAGCCTAATCTCCATTCCAAGGTCTCTGTGGTAAAATCATCTGTGTTCCCCAGATCAGTGAAGCCAACCACGTAATCCTGGGTTTTCCCATCTTTTACAAGAGCTAGTGTGGGAATTACTTTGATGCGAAGTCTCTCACACAGAAATGGGGATTTTTCAGCATTTAATTTGATAAACTTGGTCTCAATGTGCTTTTTTGCCAATGTAGTTAAATGCTTGTCTAATATTACGCATCTGAATAAACAAAACAAAGATAATTCAAACATTTTGCAATGAAGAAATATGATAAGAAATCATTTTGCTTTTTAGATCAAATTCCTTACATATCTGTATATTTATACTTTGTCAGGGAATTACAAGTCAGTGTACAGAGATTGCTGAAGTCATACTGCAATAATTTAAAGCTACTCAGGGCTCTTTTTGTAGCAGGTACTCATTTGCATATTAAGCGACACACCCCTAATGTAGCCAATCCTCCAAGAGCTTACAGTAGCTCCTGTAAGAAGAGCTCTGTAAGCTCTTGGAGGATTGGCTACATTAGGGGTGTGTGGCCTAATAGGCAAAGGAGTTCCTGCTACAAAAAGAGCCCTGTAAAATGGTACTTTCATTAAGCTTATCATTTTCTTTACCCTTGAATCTAGAAAGCTAATAAACAAAACATACAGGAAGTGGACCTGAAGGACAAAGTTACCTCTTAAACATTCATGATCCACATCTAGGCTACACACAGTGTTTCAGATAATGATCTACTACACAACTAGTTGCTCTTATGACATATTATATCATATTATAGCTACGATTGCTATTTTGCATTCTTAACCACTGTAAAAGCTGTAGCTTTAATGCCTTGTACACTTCCTAGGGAAAAAGTGCAATAATTTAATGGCACATTTTTCTGTTAAGCATACTGAACTGGACCCAAGAGAGCATATTTTGCCCTCCAAGACCGCTATATTCCCAGAGCATGAGGGAAAGATCTGCCAGCAAACTGGACCCTTCCATTCACACAGCTGGGAAGATATTTGGATTAAGAGATTCGTGATTATTAGAGAACTGATTTAGCACATCCAGGCAGATGGAATTTCTGCACTCAAGTCCTTCAGTATTTAATTTATTTAAATAACTCTTTTTGCACTACAAATCTTGCAAGAAATTTACCTGAAAGTTGTATCTTTATAGAAGTGGCAGACCACATTTTTACTCTCTTTCACTTCTTGAAAAAAATCTCTTTCACTGGGGATTTCCCTATATTCCCCATGGCCTTTTGACAGCCATTCCTGATTGTGAAAAAAGAGGATTATTACCATGACATTCTTATTTATTATGCCATATAAGATCAGAAACATGTATAATTGCCTCATAAATGATTTATTCATCTATAATTCCTAATCCTAACTTGGCACTGAATCAGAAAACTCCTAGTTTCATAGTATTAAAAGCAAGGTATACATTAACTGATCAAAGCCAACAGTTAGATGCAAATACTTGAGGTTTTCTAACATCAACTCCTTTGCCCATTCTATAACACAGTAGTAATGATATTAAAATGTTTAAATTAAATTGGATAACAGAAAATGATTGTTTTAACTAACAGACGAAGGTTGCATTCTGAAAGCATGGACAGTTATCAAGTACTCTGCATGTATTTCTTCCATTATATCTAAATATATATCAATTTTTCATATTTTCCCAGTAACTATTGGGTGGAAGACATAACCAATGTTACCTTCCTCATTTGATGCCTGACTATTCTGGGATGTACTTCACACCATCCTTTTGAGAAAAACTATAGTGAGAAATTTTGCTTTCAGACTCTTCTAGTAATTGCCTTGGGCTATATATTTACCACATTCTGGGTAGCATGGAAATATCTTAACTCTTTGGGAGGTACACTTCATACCACTCATGTTCAAGTTTCAGATCAGGTTACCCTAAGTGAACCAGAGCTCGGCATCATTAAAAGAAAAATCCCCAGACTATTACCATCACCAATGCATATCCAGGAACAGGATTTCCAGGGGGACTTTGGAATGCCATGTGAGTGTGAAAAAACTCCTGTGGATCTAAACCCTTACTCTTGAAAACAAATTAGATTTCTAACTAAACACTGAAAAAGTAACTCTAGAGCAGTTTACCAAGAATTATTCGAGTTCCAAACGCCTTAAAGCAAATTCACAGGCTTTAACAAACTGGTATAGCATAACGGCCAACCACCAGATTCTATGCATGTTTACTTGGCAGTAAGCCCCACTAAATTCCATAGAGCTTACAAACAACTATCTACGAATAGAACTACAGCATAAAAGCAATCCTATACACATGTATACACATGAAGTTCAGTAATAACTCATACAAACAGACACTGTTTATAAAGTTGTTTTCCCAAGTAAAGGTGTTTGGGCTTAAGCCCAATAAATTGAGTAGGATTTAATTAAAAGCATATATAGGATTGTACTGTATGAGTATGAGGTGGGAAATCCCTTCTTGGAGTCTCACCTCAACTACAAACTGACTTAGGCAAGCTGACTATTCTATCAGCTTCATCCCATCAGCAACATGAGAACTCTGCTGGTCTGATTTACCAGACCATTATACAGAGCACTAAGATGAATTATGTGAAGTATTTTGAATACGAAAATGTGCTATACAAACTCCTTTTATCTGTTGTACAGTTACAAAAAAGTTACTTGTTTCTGTTGCTGGGCTTTCTTCAATGCTTCAAGTCTTCTTTGCTTTAGGAGTTCCATTTCATCTTCATCCATCTGATCAAGTTTTTCAATCTTTTCATCAAGTTGTTGTTCTATAGCCTCGGTTGTCTGAAGTATCTGAGTCTCCAGAACGTTTGAAAACATTTCAACAGAAGTATCGGCAGCCATTTTCTCCCCTATATAAGCAGCAAACACAATAAACCTGAAAAACAAAAGTGACTTAAAGTCAAAGCCAGACCTAGTATTAAAAGTGTATTTGTACAATCTTATGTCTCCTATCCATCAACAGGGCCTTCAGAGATGTAATAACATAATAAACAAGTGGGGACCCGCAAGAAACTTGCGGTAGCGGCTATTCCATCCCCCCACCTCTGCTTCTTCCCCCCTCCCCCTACTTCCCTCACACTATTTCGCCTTCCTGCTACCCCTTTTCTTACTCTCTGTCTGCTCCATGACTGTCACTTCCTTTCTGTCCCCACCGCATCACGCTTTCTGCCCTGTCACTCTCCTGACCTCCCACTTATGCCCCCTCCCACAGCAGCCGTGGCAGCAGCCACTCTCCAGGAATTACAATGGATTGCCCAAATATAGAAATCAGTTTCTCTTAGGGTTGCCAGCTCCATGTTGCAAAATTCCTAGAGATGGGGGTGGAGCCTTGGGAGGATGAGGTTTGAGCTTGGAAGTGACCTCAGTATGGTGTAATACCATAAACTGCACCCTTCAAAGCAGCCATATTCCCTGGGGAAATTGATCTCTGTCATCTGGAGATTAGTTGTAATTCCAGGAGATCTCCAGCCCTCACCTGGAGGTTGGCAGCATTAGTTCCCTTGGAGGATACGACTGCTTTGGAGGGTGGAGTCTATGCCATTATATCTGTCTAAAGTCCCTCCCCGCCTCAATCCCCACCCCTCAAATATCCAGGAATTTCCCAACCTGGAGTTGGCATCCCTATCGCCTTCCCACCCAACAGCCAACCTACTTTTATTTGACCCTCCGTCTCCTTTCCCCCTGCAGCTGTTACTGAGGAAAACTATGGTCTTTCTCCACAGTGGGGACCAAAGTAGTTGACATTATTCTCTCCTCCTTTTTATCCATACAACAACCCTATGAGGTAGGTTAGGCTAAAAGTATGCGATTGGTCCAAAACCAACCAGTGAGCTTCCACAGCAAGATGGGGATCTAAAGCTGGGTCTCGCAAACCGTACTCTGAAGCTCTGACCATTATACTACACTGACTTTCATAGGGTGGCTGCTGTTGAACAGTAGCAAGCAGCCAGGCCTAGTTGAATCATGCAAGTCTGGCGGTATCAAGTCACCCAGAGGGTGCTGCTAGGCCTAGGTTTGCCAGCCTCCAAGTGGGACCTGGAGATCCCCCAGAATTACAACTGAACTCCAGAGAACAGAGATCTGTCCCCCTGGAGAAAATGGGTGGTCTCTGTAGGATTATATCCAGCTGAGGCCTCTCCCCTTCCCAACCTCTGCACTCCTCAGACTTCACCACAAAATCTCCAGGAATTTCCCTACCTGGAGTGGGCAACCCTAATCCCCGGCCTGGCTTCAAACCGCTTGCTGTGTAGCCATTCATTCATACTGCAAGAGGAATCCTTCTCAATCTGAGCGCTCCAGTCCAGCTTTTGCTTACCCCCCCTCACATTCCACGCAGTGAGGCCTGGAGTACATCCCTCAGGATGCCATTTCAAAAGGTACTGGGGGGAATTCAACCCTCCCTGAGGGTTTTTTTTAAAAGATTTTTCTGAAGACCTATGGAGTCTCCTGAGTCTGTAGAAAACCCTATTGGGGGAGAGTGTGCCCCCTATGTGCAGAAATAAGTACTCACATGCAGAGGGAACTACTGAGAATTAGATATATAGATAATGATAACGCTGAAGAAAGCTACGTCCCTAATAGGAACATATGAAGAGTCCTGCTGGATCACACCAATAGTCCATCTAGCCCAGCAGAGCTTAATTAATCTGTTATCCAGGAGCTGATCATTGGGAGGGAGTTTTGTCTCTCATCTTTTCTGTCTCCCCCCTCTCTTTTCTAGATCTTATTCTTTCTAATATTCTATTTTATTTAATTTAATGTAACCTAGGTTGTGGCAGAGGCTGTGGTTTGTGTTATGCTGCTTTACAGGTTTGATTTGTTGTTATTTTGTTATAAACCTGCCCTTATAGCGGCAGTTGTGTTCTGAGTTTGTATGGCACAAACGTGTTAATTCAAATCTATTCTAGTTGTTTTATCTATTTAGCTTGACCCCAGCTACTTTGTTATCAGTATTTTTAACTGTAACTGTTGTTGAATGTTAGCTTTAATTTTATAGCTATTTTAGCTCTTTTATCAGTATTTTATTATTATATTTTAACAATATATATTTTATATTCTACTCTTTATTAGGGATTATCTCAGTGGGTTTTAATCTGGGGGGTTTATTAGAGCTATATTTTAACTTAATATCACCCTGTATTTTACAAGCTCTATTAATGTAACTGCTTTATTTTACTACAAATTATTTTACTTTATTTATTTAATTGGTTATATATAGGCTAGTCTCTGGGAATAGACCAATAATAATAGGGGGAAAGGTCTGTTCCTTATAAGGAGGAAGTGCAAAGGAATATTTTCAGCATCTTTCACCAACTGTACTTGCCAATAGGTTTGCCTCTTTACTAAATGATATACCAGCAGCACCTAGTAGTTTTGAGGATTCTATAATGGACCCCTCCTAGAACCCCCCATTGACCTGAAAGTTTTTATTTGATTTGATTTATATCCTGCCATCCCCTGGGTTACAGGGCTCCAGGCAGTTACAACATTGAATAAAACAGTCAATTTATAAAAATTCAATTTTAAAAATCCTCAGTGATCCTCAGATAGGAAGAGATCTACAGAGGAGATAGTGATTCTTGCATATCAGACACGACTGACTGCAGAAAATTTGCAAAAAAAAATAATCTTTAAAGCTGTTTATTCCTATGGCTATCACTATATCCTCTGGCAGAAAATTCCACATTTTAATCACTCTCTGTGTAAAGCAGTGTATCCTTTTGTCTGTCCTGAATCTACTGCCCATCAGCTTCACTAGATGCTTTCAAGTTCTAATATTTTGGGAGAGGGAGAAAAATTTCTCTTTGACACTCTCTCCACCTCATGCATAATTTTATAAACCTCAATCATGTCCCCCCTTAGTCATCTCTTTTCTAAAATGAAAAGTCCCAGACTCTTCAGCCTTTCGTCACAGGGAAGGTGCTCCAATTTCCTAATAATCTTGGTTGCCCTCCTCTGTACTTTTTCCAGCTCAGCAGGCACTTGCAAGCCACCCTTCCTTCTTCTCTCTCCTCCGTCCCTCCTGGGCTGATCAAGTTTTTAAAGCGCTGCAGTAATGCTGGGCCGAGACACACCTGCACGGATGACAGTGCCTCAAGAGCCAGCTTCTGCAGCGAGTATCCCTCCAACACTTCCCAGGGGAAAATGGCTTCTCCCAGGGCCCTTCCTCCTTGAACCTCCTTCCTGCCTTGAAGGAAGAAGGAGCAGAGCAGAAGGCTCCAGAGATGGCCAGCTGGAAGGGAGGCTGGCAATGGGGGGTAATTAAAATGAGGAAAGGAATTACCCCCGTATCACGGGTCCCTACTTCTTGTAATCCCTAATACAGATTTTGCCGTTTTCACTGTGGTATCTATTTTCTCCTGACTGATCAGTTGTGCTATCTGGGGATGAGTTCTCTCCCACTCAACATTGTTGTCAGAAGCTGTGTCTAGAACTGCTTTTTAAATTTTCTGGTAGCCTCATGAATGCATTCCTTCTTGGAAGAAAGGAACTTGGACGTTATCCGCTATAACTTTGTAACACAATGACTAAAGTGGAATTCAGGCTTCTTATGTTTACAGAACCCATCCATGGACTGACTGTTACATAAGAACATAAGAACACTGCGAGATGGCATACATCCGAGAGTTCTGAAAGAACTCAATTGTGAACTTGTGGATCTCCTGATAAAAATATGTAATCTCTCCTTAAAATCAGCCTCCATTCCTGGAAGGTAGCTAATGTCACTCCCATCTTTAAAAAGGGTTCCAGAGGAGATCCGGGAAATTACAGGCCAGTCAGTCTGACGTCGATACTGGGTAAATTGGTGGAAACCATTATTAAGGAAAGAATTAGTAGGCACATAGATGAACAAAACCTATTGAGGCAGACTCAACATGGGTTCTGTAAGGGAAGATCTTGTCTCACTAACCTGTTAATGTTCTTTGAGGGGGTGAACAAACATGTGGACAAGTGAGATCCAATAGATATTGTTTACCTTGACTTCCAGAAAGCTTTTGATAAAGTTCCTCATCAAAGGCTCCTAAGTAAGCTCAAAAATCATGGGATAAAAGGACAAGTCCTTTTATGGATCAAAAACTGGCTAATTAATAGAAAACAGAGAGTGAGTATAAATGGGCAGTTCTCTCAGTGGACGGGGGGAAGCAGTGGGGTACCGCAGGGATCAGTACTTGGTCCACTGCTTTTTAACTTGTTCATTAATGATGTGGAGTTGGGAGTAAGCTAAATTTGCGGATGATACGAAGTTGTTCAGGGTGGTGAAAACCAGTGAGGATTGTGAGGCACTCCAAAGGGATCTGTCAAAGATGGGCGAGTGGGCGTCAACATGGCAAATGGGGTTCAATGTGGCCAAGTGCAAGGTGATGCACATTGGAGCCAAAAATCCTAAATATAAATACACATTGATGGGGTCTGAACTGGCAGAGACTGATCAAGAGAGAGATCTTGGAGTTGTAGTAGATAACTCACTGAAAATGTCGAGACAGTGTGTGACTGCAATAAAGAAGGCCAATGCTATGCTGGGGATTATTAGGAAGGGTATTGTAAACAGATCAGCCAATATCATAATGCCGCTATATAAATCAATGGTGCGACCTCATCTGGAATACTGTGTGCAATTCTGGTCACCACACCTTAAAAAGGATATTATAGCTTTGGAAAAAGTGCAGAAAAGAGCAACTCGAATGATAAAAGGGTTGGAACACAGGACGTCCTTCTTCACCCAAAGAGTGATTAACACTTGGAATTCACTGCCACAGGAAGTGGTGGTGGCTACAAGCATGGACGGCTTCAAAAGGGAATTAGATAAGCATATGGAGCAGAGGTCCATCAGTGGCTATTAGCCACAAGGTATAGATAGGGACTCTGGGGCAAGTGATGCTCTGTCATCTTGGTGCTTGGGGGGGGTCAACAGTGGGAGGGCTTCTAATGTCCTGGCCCCACTGGTGGACCTCCTGATGGCACTGGTATTTCTGGCCACTGTGATACAGAGTGTTGGACTGGATGGGCCTTTGGCCTGATCCAACATTGGCATCTCTTATGTTCTTATGTTCTTAAAGAAATATTAGTTGATTTAGCACTGCCAACCTAAGCACCGCTGCACCCTCCCAAGTTTATTAAAGTCAACGGGCTTAAAGTAATGTTAAAAAGCAATCGACAATATTAGCCACAGTAGAAATGCACGATCTCTAGACAGCTGACCACTTGAGACACGACAACGCCCCAGTAGTGTGACTTGCAAGGGCCCTGTGCCCCCCTCTCCCCCCCGAGCATCTACCGTGGGTGATACAGGGAAAATTTACAGGTGCTGCATTTCTACCTGAGAATTCAAGCCCTGCCACCATGACCACCGCACCGAGAAGCTCAGAGAAGGAAAACGGTTCCCGAATCTCACCGCCCGCGGGCCGAATCCTTCCCTCCGTGCCGCCCCCGCCGCTAATGTCGGATACTCACTGCGAGAGAAGCCGAAGCGGAGGGCGCAAGAAGCTCCCTTCAGTCGCTAGTATCGCCCCCGGCTTCTTTCACCGAGGCAGGCCGAGAGCCCCGCATCTGTCTGATAGAAGAACACTGGACTCTCCCACCAACCAGGACCCTCCGTCTGAGTCTCAGCGGGTGTGACGTAACAAAAAAGTCATTACACTTTTGACACAGGCGTTAGTCGTCAGAGGCCTTTACTGCGCATGCGACGCACAGGAATATTTCACCTGCTTCCTGCCCGTCCCGTGCGGTGACGGTTCGTAGCCATAGTGACTGTAGGGGGGCCTGGAGGACTGTACGGATAGTGATTCGGCTCAAGCGTAGAACATCGCATTTTTTTTTTTTTACATGGTACGCTATATAGTGGCCTCTGAAGAGGAAGGCAGTGGCAAACCACCTCAGCGTTTCAGTCGCCTTGGAAGACCCCTTGCTGCTGGGATCGCCTTGAGTCGGCTGCGAGTTGACGGCACGCCAGAACGCAGTGCGTCTCCGAAAACGACCGGAAAGTTCGGCAAAAACCTGAACGCTATGATTCTCTATGGCACAGACTGGCGCCGCTCTGTCTACCCTGTGGCACATCTATGGTCAAAGCTCTGTACGCTTGGCATTGGGATTTAGGATGGAAAACCAGTTCACTGGTGGTAGACCCGAAATACCAATAAAGACGGAGATGGTGAGTGGCTGTAGCCGCTGTGACAGCTGCCGTCACTCGGTCGTGATTCTCGTGGCGTAACCTCTCCCAGAAACTACAAAGCCCACAGTGCACTGCGCTGCGTGTTCAAAACAAAGGGCTAATGCCTTTCGTTCTGTCCAAAAATTTGATTTATTAGGAAGAAAATCCAATCGATCGTGGGATTTACTTTTAAGTAAACATGCTTATGATGGGGGTGTTAGGAAGCATGATGCTAAGTAAGTCCCATTTCATTCGATGGGGGCTTACTCCCAGGAAAGTGGTGTTGTTTTTTAAGATTGCAACTTCAGTCTGTGGGTCCTCTGATTAATCGTTCTGCTAAAACAGTTCTTTTAAGTCTCAGCAATTAAGGTTGGAATTCTATACACACATATAGAGTTGGGTAGTTTATCTAGATTAACTGGCATACCTTACAATAAATACAGTGGACTATTCTGGATCTTCTTATGATGATAAATTTTATGTTAAATTACTTGCAGTCTAGTTTAGGTATGACCTGAAGAAATATACTGCAAGCATCTTTACAGCATTTATCTGTTGGGAGTGGGTATGAAATTAAGCACACATATGACGCTAATGGAATTTTACACCCATATTTAACCGTGCAATCCTATACAGAGTTGCAGCCTTCTAACTCCATCAAAGGCTACAGCCTCAGTTTGGTATTGTTATTAATTGAATAAACTAGTTTAACATCTATGCTGCTTCATGGGCTTGCATTAAGGGAGCAACCTTAAAAAGTCTACTCATAAAGAGTTTTATTTAGGAGGACTCCCAGGAATGACTCAGTAGAGGGAGCCACGTCCTTCATTTGAAAGACTTGAGCAAGGCTGTTACCAATGGGACATTTTGGAGGTCGTTGATTCGTAGGGTAGCCATAAGTCAGAATCTAGTTGATAGCACATAACACATATCCCCAAAAAAGTATTTTTAGGATTGAAACCTAAGCAACCCCATGAGTGAATTAGGTGGGGAAGAAATGACTACAAATGCTTTTGCACTAAAGAAGGGAGTGTGCATGTAATGTAAGATGACATAATTATGATAAATCCTGCATCACTATGATAATGTATTTTTAAAGACCTGTCAGTAATACTTGTACAAAAGTTTCCAGGGCTGTCAGGGCTTTCCAGGACTTCTTTTATACCAGCCTTTCTCCCCAATAGGGAGAACTGGTTTACATAATTTTCCTCTCCTCCATTTTAAACACACAACAACCCTACGAGGTAGGTAGGTATGTGACTGGCCCAAAGGCACCCAGCAAGCTTCCATGGCAGAGGGGATTTGAGGCTGGGTTTCCCAGATCCCACTCCAGCAGTGTAGTTTCTAGCTCGCACTGACTCTCTTCTGCTCTCTTTTACTATCCGCTCATCTTTATGAAAACTGAATTTGAGTTTAAACTTTCCTAAAGGTTAAAAATCTCTTTTGTTCTTCTGTATTACATTAGGGTTAGTGCTGTCTTTTATCTTCAAGGTAATGCAAGGCCCATCATAACCTAAAGATTATCACTGTGGTGAGAAGAGTCAGTGTGTTACAATGGAAAGAGCAACTGATAGCTGTAGAGCAGAGGAGAGAAATTATAGATAAGGATCCCCAACGCTGTTGAGCCTGTGGGCACCACCACAGAATGGCAGCCATGGGTGCTGATTGCCTGTCACAAAATATTGGGAGGTTTCAAGCCAAACATCAACCAAGGATAGAGGCAGCTGTTTTGGAATAGGCACTTCCTGCTACTGCACATCAAAGCTGATGCCTCCTGGGTTCTTTTGAAGCACCTCCAGTGAAGTGAAGGAAAGCCAGGATTGGCCGATTATCTGAGGAAAAAGGCACCAGGATGAAATACATTGGTGGGTGCCTTTTCACTTTCACTGACTGATTAATTTCCATTTACTTCATGCACCCCATCATTTTATCTTACAGCAGTTTCATAATTTCTGCTAATAAAAATAAAAATGAAGTCTCATACCATCTTAAAGACTTTAACAAGCTTCCACCATAGGCTTACATGGATTAGAGCCAGCCCACTAATGCTATCGGCATCCCATTGAACATCACATGTATCTGAAGAAGTGGGCTCTAGTTCCACAAAAGCGAATGGTGGGATCAGTGCTCCCTCTAAGCTGTGGGGCCTTGTGAGCACCACAGAATGCACCACAGAAGTCATATGTCCACAGCTCCATGGCGACACCATTCTACAAAAACATGGTTCCAAAGCAGGATCCTCATGGATACTCAGGGTTTTTCAATTGGGTCACCCCAAACACACCATCAAATCACATAGCACATCCACGGCCACAACTTGCACCACAAAAATCACAGATCCACAGTTTCGTGGTGAATCCATTCTACAAAAACATGACTCTAAAGCATGGATCCTTATGGATCATTGGGGTTTTTGTAATGGGACATCCCAAACGTACCATTAAATCCCATATCATGTCCATGACCACAGCCTGCACCACAAAATTAATGTTGTCACAACTTCATGGCAATTCCATGCTGCAAAAACATGATTCCAAAGCACGGATCCTCATGGATCCTTAAGGTTTTTGCGTTGGGTCACCCCAACATCACCATTAAATCACATACCTTCTCCATGGCCACAGAATGCACCACAGAAATCACATGTCCACAACTTCATGGTGACACCATGAAGCCAAAACATGGTTCTGGAGCATGGATCCTCACAAATGCTTTGGGATTTTGTGTTGGGACACCCCAAACATACCATTAAATCCCATACCATGGCCACTACTTACACCACAGTATTAAGGGGTCCCGGGATTCATGGCAACACTATGCTGCAAAAACATGATTCCGAAGCATGGATCTTCAGTGTTTCTGCGTTGGGTCACCATGTACTCACCATCAAATCACATATCATGTCCATGGGCACAGCTTGCACCACAAAAGTCATGGATCCATGGCTTCGTGGCAACGCCGTGAAGACAAAACATGGTTCTGGAGCATGGATCCTCATCGATTCTTAAGGGTTTTGTGTTGGAACACCCAAACATACCATTAAATCCCATATCATATCCATAGCCACTACTTGCTCCACAGCATTCATGGATCCACTGCTTCGTGGCAACATGCTGCAAAAATATCGTTCCAAAGCACAATTCCCATGGATCCTCAAGGCTTTTGTTGAGTCACAATGAACACACCAACAAATCGCATCTCATGTCCATGGGCACAGGTTGCACCACAAAAGACATAGATCCACGGCTTCCTGCCGCTCGGCCATCACACGCCAGAGGTCATTCTGGCTCCCCCAGGTCTTGTTAGGGGCTCTTTAAAAACTTATGGCTGTCGGCGCGGCAGCAGCGCTAATGGCAGCGGCAGGGAGGGCGCGAAATGTTCCCCCGCGTCTCTGAGCCCCGGGATGGTGGCCTTGGAGTCCTAGGGGCAAATTCCACCTCTCGCGTTGCCACTTGGCCATCACGAGAGAGGTCACCCCAAACACACCATCAAATCGCATAGCACATCCATGGCCACAACTTGCACCACAAAAATCACAGATCTTCACCTTCGTGGTGGGTGGGATTACATTTTGTTAATTCATTAAGGTGCCACAGTTTAGTGAATAAGGTGGGGAAGAAAGGACTACAAATGGACTACAAAGGGCTTTTGCATTTGTAGTCCGTTTTTATTCGGAGACAGTCAAGAACGTCTTTCGCAACTTGTCCGAAGAGCGAGCCTCCTTCGCAGCTGCTCTTCGCCCCTCCGACCAGAGGAGGCGCCCTCCTCAACCAGTAGCAGGCGCCCGACTTCCTCTTCTCC